AGCAACAACATTGGGGATAGAATTTACTATACTTCTGAGAAATTTTAGGCAAATTTACATTTCTGTTTCTGTGATAAATTTCACAATTTTTTGCTTTTTCTTGTATAGCCTAATGCTAAATGCCCCTTATGCAGAAATAATATAGATGGAAGCAATTTATTGGAATGTCCTCCAGAAGAACTGGCATCCATCACTGAGAAAAAGACTAGTATGGAATGGACATCCAGTTCAAAGGTAAAATACATATGTGCAAATATTTGATTTGATCATTTTGGGTTTATATAAGGAATTGCATACTTTATATAAAAATACTGATTTTAATTTTAGTCTTATCATTTGATTAGCTTGCTATATTGGTGGGTACTAGCTTTTTGTTTATTTCTAGTTATGAATTTGGGAGGAGAGAGAAAGGTCAGATTATTATATTCTCTTCATTATATTTTTAATTAATAGTCTTTTAATACGGAGCTCTGGTGGCGTAGTGCCTAAGGCATTTTGACTGCTAACCAAAAGGTTGGAGGTTCAAATCTACCAACCATTCTGCCAGAGGAAGAGTGCGCAATCCATTTCCATAAAGATTTACCACCTCGGGAATCCAAAGGCAGTTGCTTTGAGTCAGAATTGACTCGATGGCAGTGAGTTTGGTTTTTCATTTTTTCAGTCTTTTAATGCTGTATTATAGGGAAATATGTCAGGACCTTTCTTTTCATAATAAATGAACATTTACAAAAAAATTTGAGTATATTTTGCTAATTCAAAATGGAATAATGGATTCTCTATTTTTTTTTTTTCAGATTAATGCCTTAATGCATGCATTGATTGACTTAAGAACGAAGAATCCTAATATAAAAAGTTTAGTTGTTTCTCAGTTTACAACGTTCCTCTCTCTAATAGAAACACCACTTAAGTAAGTTCAAAGTGTTTCTCACTTTGAGTGAAAGGATTTTGTTTTGATTTTCAGAGCAAAGAGAGAATTGATGTTTTATTGGTTTTTATTCATTTCATCCATCTGAAATATTCAGAATAGCAATAAAGAAAACTCTGTGGTTGCATAGGAGTTTAAAGAGTAAGTTCTGAATTTTCCAACATACCAGTAGGTGCTTGGTAAACGTTTGTTAAGTGAGTGAAAAAATTGCATGAAGACATTTGTAATTAATATTTTTTATATAATGTAGTAAGTGCACTTACCTCTCTTTCCCCCCATTTAGAGCTTCTGGATTTGTGTTTACACGTTTGGATGGTTCTATGTCCCAAAAGAAAAGAGTTGAATCAATTCAGTGTTTTCAAAATACTGAAGCAGGATCTCCAACTATAATGCTTCTGTCTTTAAAAGCAGGTGGAGTTGGTTTGAATCTTTCTGCAGCTTCTCGAGTGTTTTTAATGGATCCAGTAAGTCATTTTGTCGACTTTTAGATGTGTTGTTATTACTAGTTGCCAGTGAGTTGATATTGACTCATGATATCCTGTGTCTGTGTATGTCTGTGTGTATGTCAGTAGAACTGTGCTCCAGAGGGTTTTCAAATACAGATTTTTTTTTTCAGAAAGGAGATCCCTAGGTCTTTCTCCCTACGCACCTCTTGGTGGATTCAGACCTCCAAATACCTTTCAGTTAGCCATGGAGAACACCTCTACTTCCTTCAAAAATAAAATAATAATAATTAAAAAAAAACTATATGATTAAAAACCTTCATAATTATAAGCACTTAGGAAAATTCTTGGGCAAACTGTAGAAATAGATAAATATATAATAATAAATTAGTACATGTGTCTTGAGGGCTTTCTCTTAAGTGCTTTACATATGTCAGCTGAAATCCTCACAGCATTTTTAAGACAGATGAGGAATGAAGCCCAGTGAAGTTAAATAACTTGCCTAACATCACACAGCTAGTAACATGCAAATCTAGGATAAGAGTCTGTATTTTTAACTGTTTATATGCTATTCTACATCTCATCTACATATAGCATAAATGTCTATTAACTGCACTACTTTAGGGTAATGATTCATTCTACGAAATAAATAATGAGATCCTGCTTTGTGTAAGGCTCTCGCAATCGAGTGGTAAATGATATACATGAAATAGCTGCTTTCATGTTTTTAGTGGTCTTGAGCTTTAATGTGCATTAAAAATTCTGTTAAAATTATGTTTTTGACCTCTGCCCTCAAAGATTTATTTCTTGAGGAGACCCAGAAAGCTGCATTTTGAACATACAGTGTAGGTAATTCATGAGCATGTGGTCCAAGATCAAAATTTGTGAAACAAATACCATTAATGGAATGTTGTGAGTAAATTTGGGTGCTTATGCAGTGTTACCGTTGGTGTGCAGTACACATGTAGGGTAAGAGTGGAAGCTAAAATTTTATTCACCAAGCTGTATGACCCAGTGCTGCACCTAGGAGCACCTTTTTCTAATTGCATAAAGGGACTGTTTATGTTTATGCTGGAGGCACCTGTACTACTTTACTATCTAATTTGCACTGGGTACTATTTGGGATTTAAGTTGTGTGGGTGTTAAAGCTTGTTGCCTGGAACTCAGGAGTATTCATAACATGTAGAAAGTTTACTGAGATTCAAATTTGAGCTATTCTGGTGAGGCTACCTAATTGACACATGCGCATGTTACCAAAGGTTGGTTTCTCCACTGGGAATAACCTACCTTAAAAGTTTATAACGAGAGCCGTGGTTAGGCATTAATGGTCAGTTTTGTGGATGGCAGTGGTCTGTTGTATTTTCTTGCCTTAGTGATGTATTAAATCTTCGTTAGAATTTAAGTATTTTATTAAAAAATCCACTGTAACTATAGATTAAGTTACATATTAACTAACTCCATTATATCCTAAAAGTGGATATATTTTTTTCTTATTTAAAAATTTTTTTGATTTGGGTGAAAGTTTACAGAGAAAATTCAGTTTCTATACAGCAGCTCACATAAGCTTTGTCTCAGGACATTGACTGCAATTTTCCACAATGCAACAGCTCCCTTCCCACTTCCTCCCCATAGTTACTTCTTCCCTGTGTCCATCCCTTCATGCACTCCTGCCCTCTGAGCTATCTCCCTGTGCATACTCAGCCCTTCTATTCTCCCGTGATTGATCTCTCCAAGGAGTGTATCTACCTACTGTAAATGTTCAGTTCATATGCTTGTCTTTTGTTTGGCTGGAAGCCACAGGAGTATGTTCAGTTCCAGACCTGAAGGGCAGCTGGAGGCCATAGTCTCAGTGGTTCTACCAGGCTCTATCAAACCAGCAAACCTGGTCCCTTTTTTTGTTTTGTTTTTATGATTCGATTTTAAGTTTTATTCCACATTAATCTCCCACTCTACCCAGGATCTCCTACGTAGATCCCTCCGAGTGGTTGAGAGTGGTAGCCAGGCACCATCTAGTTCTGGTCTCATACTTTTATAGGCTAAGGATCGCATGGTGTGCCAGTTGCTTGGACTAATTGTTTCCATGAATCTTTGGTTTTCTTCATTCTGGTGGCATACTGCCTAAGGCATTTGATTGCTAACCAGAAGGCTGGCGGATCAAACCAGCCACTCCTCCCACTCCTTGGAAGCAAGAGTGAACAATCTACTTCCATAGTGATACCTCTTCAGAAACCCAAGGAGGGGGAGGGGTCGATAAGAGTCCTTTGGTGGTTTTTTTTTTAAAAAATACGTAAACTTTTTTTTTCCTGATAAGCAGATGCAAATCACTTTAATAGAAGAAGAGAAAAAATACAAGCAAAAAGAAATTATTAATAACTATTTATGTTGCATGCTTATTATGTGTTAGGTCCTTTATTATATATCAGAAACAGTGGAGTGCAAGACAGTGATGAGAATGCCTGTCTGTCCTAGTAATGATGGCAGTGGGAGGGGCATTATGTTTTTAAGTGCATTTGTAATTTCAGTCAGAAAAAAGTGAATGAATAATATTGAAATGAAAAGATTTCTGCAGAACACTCACAGAGCAGGGCAATAATAAAGTAATTGATGTTCTTACTAGGCCTGGAATCCTGCTGCTGAAGACCAGTGCTTTGACAGATGCCATAGACTTGGCCAGAAGCAAGAAGTTATCATCACAAAAGTGAGTTTTAAAACTATCTTTTGAGATTAGATTGATATGAGTTTTTTATAATTATACAAAAAATATTTGAATATGTTATTGTAAAAGATTAAAATATACAGAGCAAAGTATGAGGAAACTACCATCAGTGGTTTAATATATGTGCTCCCATATTCCTTACTGAATATTTATATACTCACATTTATGTATATAATTCTTTTAAAAAAAATTATTTTAAAGATAAATGGATCATACTTTAATATTCTGGTGTGTGTTTTATGTTTGTTTCTTAACAGTAAGTACTGGAGAGATTTTCCATTTAGGTCAAACTCTTTAACATCTGTGTGATATGCTTCATAATACAGATATATCATTATTTAACCAGTCCTTTGGTTTTTTTTTTTTTTTTTTTTTTTGCTAATAAATGCAGTGCCATAGTAATTTTTATTATACATACATTGTTGTGCTTATGCAGGTATGTAGATTAAGAAAAGTAGAATATGTATTTAGAATTTTTATTAGATGATTGCCAAATTTCTTTTAGAACAGGCTCAATAGTAGAAGAAAATGATGCAAATATATGCTTCTGTGATGGTTAAAAGAATGCCATTCTGATTTGCATTTACCTAATTATTTGTGACCTTGAACATATTTCACTTATTTATTTTCTCCTAATATTTCTTCTGTGAATTGCCTACTAATCTTTCACATAGCATTCTTAAATATTAACTATAGTTTATAGTACAACACTACTGTATAGGATAAAGGAACCTTTTAATACATTGATTTTAATCCTTTGTTATGTATATTGGAAATGATTTATCCTAGTCTCTTCTTATTTTTGAATTTAGTGTGTGTGTGCTTTTTGTCTTGGAAAACTTTAACATTTTTTATAGTTTAAGAAATAACTTTTTGAGATTCAAAATGGAGTCTTGTCAGTAAGTACCACGCTATTTCCCTCTAGCATCTTAGTGCTTGAAAAACTAGATACAGCAGTATGAATTAGGGATTTTGGTGCTCTGAACAGCTCACTAAATCAGAGTGCACCAAACACAGCAGAGCAGAATTAGAGGAAAGGCACAGGGAGATTATTTAAGAAAGATCTACCTGGCGGAGGACGGGCAGCCGAGAGAGGCCATTGGAAACTTCCCTGGGGCAGTCACTGACTGGCGGGCGAGGGCGGCCACCTGAGATCTCTGTGAGCCAAGAAAGAATACACCCTATCTCTGCATACTAGGGACCACACCAGCATCCCAGCAAACAGCCCCAAGGATCTATCTCCAACACCTGATTTTATCAGTAGCTTGGGTCACCTAAATGCAAACGGGCATGCGCAGCACCACTGAAAGTCAAGCGGAGAGCTCACTGGTGCTCCAGGAGGGTGAGCTCGCTCTCCCCTCAGCAGGTCACTGAGTGGGTTTGGGTCAGCCTGGGAGACATTGTGCTTATCTTTGTCACTGATATCTGGACCACAGTTTATTAGCAGGTCCTCTCCCGACTCCAGCACAGCTGAAATCACGCACATCTTTGGCGCTGCAGGTGGGTGGTATCACAGACAAACTCCTGAGACATTCGCAGTCTGGGGAAGTTGCGCCAGTGCTGCGGGCAGATGGGGTGGGGGGAGAGGAAGCCGTGACTGAGTGCGTTCCTGGGAATTTGCCTTGGATCGGCTTTTTGGCACTGAGGGGCCTCGGAAGCAGGGTCTTTGAGTGTGCCTGAGCCTGGCAGAAAGTGGAAACTCCCTAACAACAGGAATCTTTCCTGAGATTGAGCTGAGGACTTGTAAATAAGTACGTCATCAATAACAGCCTGACAAAGCCCTAGAAACCTACCCTAGCAACACCAAGCTTTCCTCCTTCTGCTCCCACCTTCTCCGCCAATAACTTTGCTCATTCAATAGAAGAAACCATATTCAGCCAATTACCATAAAACCTCCTGCTTCGAACTCTAAACCCTCTTTACGACAAACAGCAACACATAACCACATTCTACACAGTGATTCTACCATCACAAAGAAAACAGCAGAAAAACCCAACATACCTGAATCAATAATAAAATAAAATACACCAGCTTCATCTTTTCAAAATATTAAACCATAAATCCAAGACAAAACAAATCAACACGTAACCAGCAGATAAAGACAACCTAAAGAGTCAGCGCTCTACCAGATTCCAGGGGCTTAAGAAGAGGTTCTGCTTTCCAGTAAGCCCAAGGATACTCCGGACCTGCATGACTGAAAAAGTCCTAGTTTTCCCTTTTTTTTTTTTTTCTTTAACCAGTTCCTGATTAAAAAAATTTTTTTTTAATTTAAATTATTTTTTGTTTCTTTATTTTCTCATGACTAACCCCATTACTTGGTTTTTTTATTTGCATTTTTCCCATTTTTTTTCTTATTATTCTCCTTCTCTACCTTTTTTCTCTAGTGCCCTACCCCCAGATGTTGTAGGTTTTCTTGTTTTGCTCGTCTTTTCTCCATTTTTTCTTTTTTGCGTTATTGTTCCTGTGTGATTACATGGTGTATTTTTTGTCCATGTGCTCTTAGTTTTTTGATGGTTATTCAATTGTAATTTTTATCTAACTGAGTGGGAGAAAGCAACAGTCCCCATAAGATACAAGTACACCCACAACTCCTACAACTTCACTTACTGAGCAAGAGCCAGCACCTCCTTCTCCACCAATGGGCCAACGATAAAAAACCATGAAGAAGAGCCTGAATCACCCTTGGCTGCTCTTCACAAATAGTTAACAGAGATCTTAATGCAATACCATGATATCTCAGAGACAACAGACCATCACAGTCCACACAAAGAAGCAGGATAAAGTGGTAGAAACAAGGGAACAGGATACAAACCCATAACACATCCCTGAGGAAGAAGCAGCATTGGAACTCTCTGATAAGGAATTCAAAAGAATTATATTTAGGTATCTTCAAAGGACTGAGAGACAGACCAAAGAAAACACAGAAAAAACCTTAAAAGAATTTTGGAAGAAAATACAAGAACAAAATGACAAAATAAATGAAAAATTAGAAATGAT